GTGGCACTCACCCTCTACTGATACGATGTAACTGACTGGCCGGCAAATAACACACACCCCCAGGCAGGCAGGCCAACAGGAGGTAAGGAAGGAGGATGGGATGCCGGCACCGGAAGGATGCAGCAAATAGCCACGCCACGGCCACAGTCAGGGTCAGGCAAAGGTAGGTGAGCAAAACACGCAAAACAGGCGGGCGATGCGGGCAAGGAGCCAGGCACTGACTAGGCAACAAAGAGAAAGATTAGGTATCAACGCGACAAATCAATCCACTGAACACACATAGAAATACCCTTACTCTCTTCCCGGCCAGGCTGCACACACAGCAACGGCAAACACACACAGCAAGCAATGCAATGCGGTTAAGCTGGTGTTTTGGTTGTCATCTATCTGGTTTGTGTATGTATTTCTGACCTCGGCCGCGCCCCCCTCTCCCTCCTCTGCCATTGGGCGTCCTCTGCAACAAGGCCCCGTTGGCCCGCCCTCGGCATCTCGTGGTGCTGCTGGTGGTAGTGTTGTTGTCGTTGCAGCGGATTGCGGCTGCTGGGTCCAGTCGGCCGCCGACGGCGTATTTCATCTCGTCGGCGGTGCTGATGCGGATTCTCCGACCCAGCATCATCTGAAACACATGGAGGGAGGCAGTGTGTGCCTGCGTGTGATTGAAGAATGTGTGTGAGTGTGTCCGCACCCACCAGGCCTTCGTATGTCCATGCCAACTCAAAGTCGCGACGGTTGTCGAACTGGACGTAACCTGAGTGTGCGCGACATGTGATAAGGCGGTGAGGCGCCTGGGGGTGTGTGCATGTGTGTGGTCGCTCACATCTGCCGAGGTTCTTGACAGGGTTGCGATGGTCGGCTTCCAACATCATGTGGTCCACCTGCACAGCCACACACGCACACACGGCAGACACACACACATACACACACAGAGAGAGAGAGATGCACAGACAGGGTGGGCGTGGGAGGGAGGGCTGTATGGGTGGCTGTGCTGTGCTGTCTGTCTGACTCTGCAAGGTGTAAGGAAGACTTCCACGTCGCGTTTGGTGGCCTCGTAGTGGATGTTGTCGAGGATAAGGCCATACGGGCCATTATACTGACCAACCAACACACGAACCACTCGATGGACGGATGGATGGATGAATGGATGGATGGATCACAGTGCTTACGGTTTCCGGGACGGGCGGGCACCTCTTCCTCTCGAAGTACCTGGCCCGCCCCAGCGACGGGCGCGGGCCGCGACCGCCACCTCCACCGCCACGACCTGCACACACAGCAGGTCATGTGACGCCTGGCCGTGTCTGTGTCTGTGTGTCGTCGTGTGCGTGTCTGAATGAATGAATGAATGTGTGTGTGCCACTCTCTCGACTCGACTCGACTCACGTCTGTCGTCATGCTCGTCGTATCTGTCCCTGCCCGGCGGACGAGAGGGTCGATCACGCTGACGCCCACCTCCGCCGCCACCGTCAAGCTCTCGCTCGCCATCGCGCTCCTCCTCCTCCTTCTCCTATGCACCAAGCAAGCCACACGCACACACGAGGGATCGACCAGGCTGTTTCCATCGATTCACTCGCCCACAGACATACCGTCACGCCTTTGCGGGGTTCCACTCTCGCCGCGGTGCTGGTGGGGGTGCGGCAGGACGTCCTCGTCGTCGCTCACGTCCGCCCACGCGTTGCGGCCATCTCTGT